GGGGGGGGCTGGATCTTTCACAATACTCGAAAGGTCATTCACATTAAAGTTTCAAGCATGATTGTGGCAGGGTAGTCATCCCAAATTTCATTCAAACATTAAAACTTTGAGAACTGATTCCAAACTAGAAAGTAACTTCACAAATAATACTTTCTCAGTTGCTACCCGACATACTGGAGTTTTTCCTGAATTGGCTCAAGAAGCTGATCTTTTGAACATTCAATACATGGGTTGTTTTATAAACTCGTAAGAAAAACACTCACGTTAGGGGATAATAAATTCAAAAGCAAGAACTTCCAAGTTGTCAAACATTATTCTTGAGTATAGCTGCAATCATATTTCTATAAAAACACATATCCCATTGTGACCTATGCCACAATTTCAAAAAACTTAGAGCAGTTATCAATAGCCCTTTTGATACTTATGATTCACTAATGTTCTATTATCACCTAATCCCAATGGTTCCCAGAGTTGCATCCCCGTATAAATATCAAGAGTCAGGAATATTACATTCATTTATAATGTACTTACAAGTACTCTTGTAATAGTCTACCCATAACATTACTCGTGACATTTTAATTGTCACTTCTGCATCAATCTTATATTAGACGTTACATGTATCATAGGCATATACATGAAGTATAATAAATGAATATATGAAGGGAATTCATATCATATACATTGTCATATGTAGCATATTCTAGTCATAGCATTACATATATCATAAGAAAAGTAAATATGCATTCATATTCAATTGCACAAATTTATTCATAATATGTAGGAAGCTCTAAATGCATCTGTATCAAGATAGAAATCATATGAAAACATATTATTTTTCTTAAATTAATATAATATTATTTCACCTAACTTGATGGAATAGCCTTACGGTGAGTGTCCACATGCTTGTCTCGAGCTCGTTGCCTCGTATAGACAACCTGTGGCTCGTAGACAACATAAAATTTCATAAAATTCGGCTCATAACAAGCATTAACCCAAAACATACCTCAAAAGGGCTTTTCAACATAAATTCACCTTTCTGAAATCACAAATTTCAGTTTCCCTCAATCCTATCACCTTCAACCTTACTTCACCTCACTGATTTCATGCTAAAATATTTTTGGAAGCTTGCAAAATCAATTACAACACTTCAGCACAAAACTGACACATCTAACAACTACCAAAAATGAGAATAAACACAAAAAACGAGACAAATGTCAAAACGAAAGGGCGAGGAAGGAAATGAAAGCTTCAATTGACAAGAGAGAAGGATTTGTGCT